TGTGCGCGGGGGCTCCTCTGGAACGGTCCGTGACTCACACACGTGCTCCACTCCTCTCAGTGTGGTGCATGCCCAGACATGCTCTGCCTAGCTCACCCAGCTCTTCCACACATCCAGTCCTCCATCCAAGGCTATCTTTGAGACAAACATTCATGGCTCAGTCCTTCACATTGGTCCTTCACAGGGGTGCTGGTCAACAACTGGATAAATATGAGCCAGCAATGTGCCCAGGTAGCCAAGAAGGCAAATGGCATGATGGTTTGTGTCAGAAATGGTGTGGCCAGAAGACTAGGGAAGTGATTGTTCCCTTGTACTCAGCACTGGTGAGGCTCTATCTCGAGTACTGTCTTCACTTCTAAGCCACACACTACAAAAAGACACTAAGGTTCTGGAGCATGTCCAAAGAAGGGCAACAAAGCTGGTGAGGTGTCTAGAGCACAAGTCTTATGAGGGGCTGGTGAGGCAACTGAGGGTGCTTGACCTGGAGAAAAGGAGGCTCAGGGGAGACCTTGTCACTCTCTACAACTCCCAGAAAGGAGCTTGTAGTGAGGTGGGGGGTCACTCTATTCTCCCAAATACCAAGGGATAAGACAAGAGGAAATGGCCTCACATTGTGTCAGGGGAGGTTTAGACTGTATACAAGTTAAAACTTCACCAAAAGGGTTGTCAAGTATTGGGACAGGCTGGCCAGGGCAGTGGTGGAGTCCCCATCCCTGGAGGTACTTAAAAGACATGTAGATGTGTTGCTTAGGAACATGGTTTAGTGGTGGACCTGGCAGTTCTGGGTTAACTGTTAGACCTGATGATTTTAAAGGTCTCTTCCAACTCAAACCATTCTATGTTTTGATGTGCATCTCTATTCTGTGCTGTACAGGCACACAGCACACAGTACGTCCCCAGCAGTCTGACAAAGCCATCTTGGGAGTCTGAACTGAATAGTGACCTAAACCCATGAGGGCAAAAATGATGCAAACTACATATTTGTAGCTTGAGAAAAAAAAAAAAAGAGTCCAAGACATTAATCAGTGTTTGAGCTCAGAGGTGAAGCCCCGTCTAACCTGTCTGGTTTATAATCTATGGCGTAGACATGCCTATCTTATATGATGTGACCATCAGAGAACCCTGCAGAATGTGTCATTTCAGACAGCATGTCTAGAAAGAAGCTGTCTGGGCAGAGACAGGAAATTAAACTTTGAAATTAAATTTTAAAAAAAATGAAAACTGTTCCATGAATGTGACTGAAACAGCAAAGCTAGAACTACTCTACATACAACTGACTTCTTATCCAGAGCAGTCCAGAATTCCAAAATATGGTAACTGAATGAAAATGAGATCATCAGCCAGTTCTGATATGAATGGCATTAAAAAGACCAGTTTCAAGAGAAGAATTAAAGAGAAACATAGGACAAGGAACATCAATCAGGGATTTAAAAATACTTCCACTTCAAAACACATCCATCTTCCCTTCAAAGAGCCAGGCCACAGGGGAGAAGCTTTCATTTTTGGATACTGAACAGTGAAAACAGCATAAGCATTTCAAATTATGTTTAATGTGGAGGTAGCCAACTTGAGGATACTTCAAGACCATCTGGGAACAAAAGCTTGTCTCCAGAAAATGAGCAGCATCCCCAATGCACATTTGCACAGGCTGAAACTTTCTTCTAATGACAAGTGGCATTTCTAGTTCTAGTGAATTTATGCTCTGTGTTTGGGAATTTAATCATATTACTTCATCCTGCTGCCACAGTGTTTCAACAGCCTGGTCACTTTTGTCTGGTACCTTGTTTGTGGAACAGCCCATATGGATCCCTCAGTTACTTCCATGAGTTAATTGAGAGCAGTTCTGTAAGATAAATAAATACTTCAAATATGACCCTTCTGAACATGAATTGTCAGGGTGAAATAAGTTAATTCTTCTAAAGGATTACTTCAGATGCATCTTTGTAACCTGTGCATTTTTTTTCCCTGAATTTCTGTTTTATTCACCTCCAGATCATCAACAGATAAATTAAACATTGGACCACAACCAGAACCTTGCTACACCCTGCTGTTTACCTTCTGTATCAATGAGCATTTACAAGGAATAACAAAAATAAACCAAAAGGCATGAGAAGAACTAGATTAATTTCACTGTTTTTCAAGCACAATGAATCGCACCACATTCCAGTGACAGAGGTGCTAGTTACATCATTCGTTCTTAATATAATCCCATTTTTTCTTAAATTTATTTTTCCAAATCAAGATAATTCAGTGTCGACTTCTAAAGCCTCACTTTTTATTTAAGAGGAGCAGAGCAGTTTGTTCTGCAGGAGGGGAGGGAAAGAAAAAACTTCAGACTTTAAGATTTGTGAAGCTGCTATACTTTATTAATCATTAAAGTTATATAAATAACAATCAGAAATTTAATATGCCACATCATCTTGTAATTATTGTTCAAAGTTTTTGCTATTATTTCAGCCTTTGCCTGCAAGTAGCTAAATATGTATGATTCTCTGTAACTTTATTTTTTGTGCATATTGTTATGAAATTATCTGTCTTTCATTGATTTTTAAAGTAATATTTTTATCCCTATCAATATAACATAGAAGAAATATTCCATTTTCTCTAATAAGGACAAAATTAAAAATCAATTTCTAAGCCATCTCATTTTGAAAAGTAATTTTAAAAGCAATGAGACTATCATTTTGATTTATATAACAGATCATCTCATGTTTTAGAGTGCACAATAGTCAAGGGTCATTTGTCTAATAAACTCAACTCGGTTTTCCAATGCTGCTTGTATTTTGTTTGTCCTGAATTTACTATCTCTGTCCTTATTCTAACACAACACGAAAATATATGAAGACCTTACAGCTGCTTGTCTTTCTGAGCAGTGATGTTTCCTTCTCTGGTCTAACACCTTATCGAACCTGTGATGAGTTAGTTGCCCTCCAAGAACCAGCCTCAGGTTAAATTCCTGAGAGCACTGGTGTGGGGCACCCTTCTGTGGGACCTGGTTCCGTGGGGGATGCTTTGCCGTAGCCTTCCTTCTCCCCTTCCACCACAGCCTGAGCCACAAAATGGGGCAGTGGGGCTCTGACTATTCAGCCAAATGTCTCAAATGCTTTGCAGATATCCACAAACTCTTGCTTTAGAGGTGATAATATAACCTGAGAAATTAAGATCACAGGTATTTCATAAATGGGTAAACTAAGGATCTGATTTCCAACGGCCATGCATCTGCAGAGCCATAAATGACAATAAAATGAATTATACTTAGTGAAGTCTATGAAATAGATTTTACTTCTCCCACTATGCAGTAGTCTTCAACAAATCCTTAATTGGCATAAATCACAGTGACTTTCCTGAAACCACTGAAGCTTTCCCAGTTTACAGAGAGAAACAGAGATAAAACAGTTTGGGTTTTTTTTTTTTTACTTCAGTCTGCTGTTGAGAGAGAAAAATACAGGTAGCCCAGCTTCCTTTTCTACGCTTCCCTCACGCAACTGGTAAGTCCTCATAGACGCCCACAGTACTTGAAATGGCTGAGCACCATTACCCCTGAAATGATGTAGCAGTCTTTGCTTGATCCTCACCTTTGTCATCCGCAGCACGTGAAGTATCAAAGGGGTAAGCAACAACTCAAGGGGCCCTTCGCAGCCACTGAGCTGTTCCATCAGTTTGGCTCTGGAGATACTGAGCCAGAGTCAGAACCAACGTACAAAGAGCCTGCGAGCAGAGCTACATGACCATGAGCCGGGCGTGTGAGGAGACCGAGTGAAACAGAACAGGTGACAAAGGCACGGTTCCCTTACTGTTGACGATGCCTCTGTAACATCGCAGCCTGTCTCTGAACTATATTTTCCACTGCATTGCCGGCTTGCAAAACTTTTAATGGAACAAGTTTTTCTGGCAGAAGAACACTGATTTTTATCTTTAATGAGCAGCCTCTCGATTGTTTAGCTTCAGGAAACAGCCTCCTGGTTGTTAACCGCTTGAGAGTGCTGACAGCCAGTCAACTTCAAAAGCAGCCAGGAGAAACTTTCTTGCTAACTTTGGGAAAGAATTCAAAAATGCTGAAAAGTGCAGATGATGTTGTCATGGAGCAAGAGGACTCTGCTTCCCGACAAGGAGAAATGACGAGCTGGGATATCAATGACATCGAACTTCCCCAGGTATGTGTCTGTGTCTTAGAAATTTATCCAGTTCTGACCAGTCGTCTTCTCTGCTGATCTTAAATTCTTTCTCAGTTATCTATGCCTTGTTGCCTTTATTCTTTGCCAACACAAAGTATGGGACAGAGTTTTACTGAGAAGATAGAAAATATTGATCAAATATTGAAGTTTTCATGCATTTTCCCTTAAATATATTATTGAAAAAGCAGATGAGTTGCCTCTCTAATCCACTGGTGGATGAGGTGCAGAGAAAGCAGGAGAAAAGAAAATATCTCCTCCTGTGGGTGCTCAGTTAGAGATGTCCAGGACTTGCTTTTTACCCTGGGGAGTGCTTTATGAGAAGAGAACACAGCACCCACATCTCCCTTGCAACTCTGGGTGCTCAGCCTCACTGCAGATTAGGCTCCAGGTGAGCAGGTTGGCTTTCCACACAGAGGCAACACTTCGTTCCTGAGCACCTAAGAAAAGCTTGCTTTGTGTTTGCAGAGATTTGCTGAGAGGCAAAACAGTGATCTCTCCCTCCCTCAGTCCTATTCTAGTCATCTAAAAATTCCAACCATGCTCTCCACTGAAAGCCCGCAGCACCACGCATGCCAATGTCATCTCCCTGCCCCTCACCTCCACATATTTGCCAGGTTCCTCTTGCTGTGGTACTCCAACATCCAGCTCTGCCTTTCACAACCCAACCCTGTCTTCTTACCTGACCTTGGTCTCTTTCCTACTATGCCACTGCTGCTTACCCAAAGCCTCCATATCCCAGGCTGCCTTCTTCCCTGCTCTCCACCCCAAGGTCACCTTCACATGCATTTCAGCTTCCTCCACACCCTCCCCTACACTACCTGACGGCTCCTAGGGGAGCACAGGAGTTTTTCTTTTCTCAGTTCCTGTCTGTGCTGCTGTAATGGCTCTCAGGGGCTGGAAATGCCTACTAACTTTTTGTACCCCTCCAATACTTCTTCCCTCAAAACTGTCAGCAGGTATGTTAGGTGCTTTGCAGTTTACTGCATTTTACAGTGTTGACTGTACCCACTGAGGAGATCTGTCTCTGGTCCTTTGGGGTTTTTTTTTGTTTTCTCCATTGAATTTAATTTTTATTGTTCCTCCCAGTGTTTCCTTTGAGGTTTGGGGTTTTTTTTTCTGCTTAGTCTATAGCAGCAAAAATAAAACCTGATGAGCATGTCAGGTTTCTTTGGCTTGGACTTCAGAAAAATCACCATGAGAGTCTTCCACAGCAGTTAGGCCAAAACAAATGAAGTTCAGAACTGAAGACCTAATGCCCTAAATGTGGGCACAGTCTCAGTCTGCTTCATCATTCACCCTTTTTCCATCGAGCTGAGACAAATGATTCAGTGTAACTTTGCTGTGACTAGCCAGAAAGGCAAAGCAGAATCTCTGCTACTAAAGCTAACAGAAGCTAGGTGGTGACTGCTGCCTCCAAGGAACATGTCTGCTATTTTACATCAGACATCCCACTTTCCTCTCCTGGGGCAGTCCTGAACCAAGGTGGACCCATAGGTGAGCAAGAACAATCTCCTGGCCAGGCTTTCCTGATGCTTTCGGGCTCAGAAAACACAGGGAGCTGTAGTTTTTCTGCTTTCTCTCTGCTACTCCCTCCTGCCAACCAGCATTACCCACTGAGGTGCTGGAGTCACCCAGGCAAGGACAAGTTTGCTGGGCTCTTGCACAAGTTCTTCTCTTCCCTAGCCTGAAACATGGCTTGCTTTGATCTCTCCACAGGACGTAAGACAGATAGACTGGTTTCAAGAATGGCCAGATTCCTACGTAAAACATATCTATAGCTCTGAGGATAAAAATGCTCAGAGGCACCACAGCAGCTGGGCAATGAGAAACACCAACAACCACAACTCTCGCATCTTAAAAAAGTCCTGCCTCGGGGTGGTGGTCTGCAGCAACGACTGCTCCACCTCAGATGGGAGGAAGATCTATTTGAGACCAGCCATCTGTGATAAAGCCAGGCAAAAACAACAGCGTGAGTATGAACATAGCTGTTCGTTCCATGGCAGTTCAAAAGTGAACACAACGCAAAAGAAATCAAAGTAGAGGATAAAATTTGGACTACCCAACCTTCCTGCTGCCATTCCTTATATTCAAGTGCAACTCTTGATTTTGCAGCAATGCATTTTATATTTTTTACTGTTGGTGGAGGTCTTGTTTTCTTGTTTGTTCTTATTTGTGCTCTTTCTGATGGTTAGAGATTGATTCCCAGTCTTCCCAGGTCCATGAGCAAGGCTACCAAGAAAACTATACGGTGCAGGCAGCTTCCTGCTGTGCTGTTGCTGCTGACCTGAGTGTTGGCTTCATTATTGCACAGGACCAAGACTAACTCAGGAGGCAAGTCTTGAAGGAAAGAAGTTGCTCACAAACAATGATGAATGGAAAATAAGCCTCATAGTCACGTCACTGGAGCAAGGCAATGCAGAGAACAAGCTGCGTGTACATTTTTAACAAGACCACTCCAAATGATTGTTGAGTGCTTAGCAGAGCTAGCACATTCTGATTTCTGCATCTGATCAACATTTTGGCTAAAGAAAGGTATTACCTGAGCACTCAGTGAGGTCAGAATGAGGTCCTCCAGAAAAAACAGACAAGAACACACATGACATTCCAGACACAAGTTAAAACCAGCTAAAACTGACTATGATAATAAATGATGAAGTGATAATAAAGCTATAATATAAATTTTCTGCTAGTTCTATTTAACAATGGGACAGAATAAAGACAATTATTAGTTTGCTTATATTGATTTTTGCTTACATTTGGAAGTTTTCTGCATAGTTTTTCACCATACAGTTTCTAAGCCACAAACCAGAAGTAGCAATCCACCACTAATGAGCCATTTTGATTCATCTGATCAGTGTTGTGTAGCATCTATATTTAGCCCGCACCCAGGACTACATTATAGTTGCTCTATCACCCAATGACCCCTCCCCAGCCAAGAAGAGGAGCTGGGAAAAAAGGAAAGGAAACTCATAGTTTGAAATAAAAAAAAAAAAAAAAACCCAATCACAAAAACAAAATAATACCAACAACGGTACAAAGACAGTTATACACAGCCCAGCAAATATATGCTTGTCACAATAAATGGGAACGCAGCCCTCAGGCACAAGATCAGAACAATCTTCAGAAGAACCCCAAACAGGAGACCCTTTATGCTCAGCAAACTTCCCCCTTTTCACGGAGCACGATGGTTGTGGGATGGGATACACGTGTGAGCCAACTCAGATCAGCTACCCTGGCTGACTCCAAACTGCTGATGGTCTGCAGACTATTGTAGGCCTATGGTTCTGTCCTAGTGAAACCAGGACATACAGAAAATATTTCCCCCTATCTTTACTCCAGGGAAATGCTGTCCAAACTGCAATGGACCCCTGCGGCTCCTTTCCTGCCGAGGCCATGGTGGTTACCCAGTTACCAATTTCTGGAGGCATGAAGGCAAATTCATATTTTTTCAGGTTGGTTACCTTACGTTACGCAAATTAAGTTTAAAGACTGACTTTTTTAAGATTGATTAAGGACATTTTTTGTTCTAACAAATAAGGTTGTTAAATGTGACACTGTTAAATGCCAATAAGGACAAAAATCTTCGTAATGAGTGGGCAAGGTCCTAAGCAACCTGATCTAACTCTAAAGCTAGTCCTCCTAAGCAGGAGGTTGAGCTAAACTTCTAGAGGTCCCTTACAAGCTAAATTAGCCTGTAGTACTATGATTTTACAGCAGAAACAAATAAATTAAGTTAAATAAAATTAATTCTCTGTGAAAGCTAATGGAACTTAATGTTCTGATAAACATGTCTAACGTGTAAGAATAATGGAAATGGCTTCAGGGGCACTGTAGACAGGCTGCAGAAGACCTTGTGGCTTCAACTGGGGCTGTAATGTGGGCAGCCTCTTCTGCATATAAATGCAGCGCACTGGTTATGCTCTCAGAGTATTTCTATCCCATCATGCTTCATCTGATATTTGTTACTTGAGCTTACCTTAAATGTCTTATTAAGTACAAAGCATTAAGTTGGGTCATATGTGTGGTTTTGGCCCATGCTACAGATTTTGCTCTCTTAATGACAAAGTTATTTCTAACTTTAACATATCATAATTCCTTTCTGAAGTCCAAAGGAGCTCATGACCATCCACGTCCAGAAACAAAACTAGAAACAGAAGCAAGAAGATCAACCCAAAAAGCACAGACATCACTTTCTCCATCTTCTCCAGAATTAAAACGAATCCGAGAGATTGAGGTAAGTCTTATTACCAGTCAATGAAATTGTGAAGTCAGTGACCCATAGTTCAAGGCATGGTGGAGGCTGGCTGGGCTTTGGGTAAATGGTAAAGCAGGCTTTACATCTCCTCATTCTGTCTCCCCATGATCAGTCCAAGAAGGAGCAGAGCTGTCCTGAGCATCCTGCTCTGTTCAGCACTATATCATCCGCTGCCAACACCCCCGCCCTGGAGCCTCTTTGGGTCTGGTGGCAGCAGGGCATTACATCTGCACTGGTGAAGAAAGCAGGGCGGGAGGGCAGGCTCAGTCTGATTGCTATTCACATGGTCCCCACCATGGATTTGGCCAGTGGCAACTCCTGCTCACGGACAAATTGCCCTGGCACAGGTCAGGAGGAGAGCATGTGCCAGGGACGTTCCTTGGCAGGACAAGGCTGCAACAAGTTTGGGTCCCTTCACTGTGTATACTGGCTTTGAACTGGCTTTAAACTTACCTGTGCCCTTATGTGCCATCATGCTACAGGCAATAAGAATCTCATCCTGATGCCGTGAAAAATAGCCTTTGGTGGGTGCAACACAGCCCTTGCACCATTTCACTTCAGGTCCAGAGGCTTCCTAAGGCCAGGATGTAGTGCAGACACTGCCAGGCCATGCCTTTTGGTCCCTGTTACCAACAATAGTCCTTGGCCTCATTTGCAGGAGTCCTGCAAGGCTCTTCTGCCTCTGAGCAGGATTCAGCCACCTGCAGACCCTCAAGGGCTTTACTGGGTGTAGAAACACTTCTGAAAGCATCTACAGAGATCCCGTGGACTGGCCACTTGCCTGATAAAGGGAATCAGCTAGAGCAGTGAGGCTGTCTCCAGTATCTCCCTTGCAAAGGCTGTGTGCCACCAGCCGTCCCCACGTGCAGTTTGTCTTGGTGCATTCTCCCCAGCCTAGTGTTCAGGGTGGTGACTGGTGCCCATTCAGCTACAGACAAAAGGGATAATTGGGCTGGGCGGGGACAAATTTCTTAAATGGACAACAAGCAGGGGGATCCAGGAGCCCAAGAGGCAGATTAAAAGAGCGAATAGAAGAAATTAAATCCATTTAAACGGGATACGAATTTAGGAGCTGCAGCTATTTCTACTGGAAATACGCAAGAGGACACTAAAAGCCATAGCTCAGGAGTGACTCTCAGGGAGGCACAGTGACTTGAGATGGGACAGTCAGCCAGTACAGGCGAGCTCTTGACACAGGTGCCTGGGAACATGAGCATAAGAAAAGGCAGCTGAGCCACTGCGAAAAATCTGTAGCAAATACAGAAACAATGATTTCATATCACTGGCTTAATTCTGTCCCCATGAACACTAAAATAGTGCTCCCCTAGGAAATGTTACTGAGCCACGTGGCATTTTTTATACCTGAGACTATTAGTCTTACTGAAGACAAGTTCCCTCTAGATATGTCTTGATCTTTCCTTTCCTACAACATCCTCCTGATGTTTCATTTTGAATTGTGTGGGAGTCGGAACAGACCAAAGATGTCATAAGTATCTAATTGTAGATCCTGCCCTTCAGCTGGTCTGACTCTGTGCAGCTGGAATGATACCACTTACCCTCAGCTGGCTTCCAGTTTACCTTCTGTGGCAGCTTTTTCTTTAGAATAACCAATCCTATTTGTGTTCTGCCAGGACCAGCTGTGATACAATTAACTTCAGGGTCTAATTTGACACACAGAACCTGTGTCACTGAATCTGCAAAAAGGCTTCTGAAAAGATTTGCAGAAGAAAACACAGTTTTAATGTGCTGATGAGAGACTTGGAAGGAGAACTTCAGAAAAAATATGAGCCCAAAATAATGCAAGTGATACACAGGATATTTTCTCTGTGATGTCAGTGAGTCTAGATGGAGGTGGGCTGGGTTCAGGTTGTTCAGATTTCATCTTGTGGTGATTTGAGAACAGCTGAAAGATTTGCTACTGTGGCAGTCAGCAAAAATCACTATAATTAAATAAATGCAAAAGGAGAATTACAAAGAAGAGAGACCTGTAAGTACTCATCAGTAATGACAGAAGAGAATGAGTGTTCTGAAAGGAATTAAAGTTTGCAAAATTGTAATCCAATAATCAGGGCAATTAAAGAAGTTGTGAAATATTCAGAAGAAAAGACCCAGAAGAATAATTCTTGTGTGCTGCTCCCTCCCTGAATGAAATTTCTGTCTGTGTGGTGAAAAAAAAAAAAAGTAAAAATAGGAGAATCTATCAGTTAGAGGTAGTGTCTTGAAAAGCTGAAACAACTTCATTATTGTAGTGAAAAGATCACTTCAAAATAATCAGTTTTAAAAAATCCTACTTAGCTTTTCCAAACTCCACAGGAAAAAGAAAATCTATGATGTCAAATGCAGAGCATAACTTCATTTTCAGGTGCTTCTTCAGTGCATGCTGGTAGCAGACATCAAAGGCTGTGAATGAGAGGTCTAACAATTATTTCAGTATAAAAGAAGCTTTAGGCAAATACCGATGAAACCAACTCAGACCAGTGATCTGGAAGCCCTATTTGGTTTGCCCCTGAAGTGCCACCAGCACTACCCTACAAGGAGGGCTCTGCTACAGCATCTGCCTTGTTACTGGTATTAACCTAAGCATTGGTGAGGTCTCATATAGGATGTTTTTTATCTCTTGCTGCTGGACAATACCTTGTTTTACTAACCCACGCCTTGCTTTCCCAAGTCTCTGACAGGTGCCATGCCGACCTGGGAGGCTTTGCCTTTGCTTCTTTCCAAGTCGGATGCCTATGTGCTACCTGCAGATTTTGGGAGACATTTAAGCAGAAGTTCTGAGGAGCCAAAGATAAGCATCTGCTCTGGGCGGCCACCAAGGGCAGCTGGGGAGGACAGAGGCTCCCAAGAGGCTCCAGCTTGGAGCAGAAGCCTGGCCCTCGGAAGGAGCCCCAGCACCGAGAGGTCTTGGAGCTGCCCTGCCACCCACCCACCCTGCACCCGCCCTGACACCCAGCACACCTTGCCCTTGACAAAGGGTGGCCGTGACTCCTTCAGGGTTATTGCTGGCCCTTTGGGGGGTGCATCCTGTGAGGAGAAGTCCCTGCTGCCCTGCAGCGGCGGAGCAGAAGCCTGGCCCTCGGAAGGAGCCCCAGCACCGAGAGGTCTTGGAGCTGCCCTGCCACCCACCCACCCTGCACCCGCCCTGACACCCAGCACACCTTGCCCTTGACAAAGGGTGGCCGTGACTCCTTCAGGGTTATTGCTGGCCCTTTGGGGGGTGCATCCTGTGAGGAGAAGTCCCTGCTGCCCTGCAGCGGCAGGCGCCTCCCGCCCCCACCCCACCCTCGGCCCCGGGGCGGCATGGGAGGCCCCTGCCCCGTGGCGGGCAGGGCACGCACCCACCACCACCACCAGCAGCCCTCGGAGCCTCCGAGGGGAGGCGAAGGAGACTGGGGCGGGGGAGGGCACCGTATGGGTCCCAGCTACTGCAGCGATGACATGGGTTTTAACCTGTGCCCCTTACGGTAACTGGGTTTGAGTGTCCTCTCTCCCTCCTCCTCTGGCAACCGAGCTAGTTCTGCGTCCCTGTTGCAGTGTGGATGTGGAAGTGCTACCACGCCAGGTTCCCTCCTTGGCTCCTCTTGCACGCCTCAGGAGGGGCTTTCATGCCTGAAGTCTTGCCTTTGTTCTTTTGGATTATTTAACTGTTATATTTTCCCCACTATTTCATTGATCTAATAAAAGGTATCAGCTCTTCTTACAGACTACCTTGCTACCGTTCTTGTTTGGTAGCATTTCAATTTTTCTTGATACTCAGTTTGTTCAAGCCTGTGGGACTGTAGAAGGCGTAGATGGATGACCTCAAGGACCACAGTTGTTGTGTGCAAACCCTCTGCACTCTTCCAGCTTCTCAGGCAGTGATCTAGGTCCCTCCAGTGCACCAGCCCTGCAGATGTATTGTATAGCATCGTGACAGGGGGGTTTTGGTTGGAGGGGACCTTCAGAAATTGCCCAGTCTAACCCCTCTGTCATAGGCAGGCACATCCTTCGTTAGATCAGCTTGCTGAAAGCCCCATCCAACTTCACCTTGAACAATTCCAGGGATGGGGCATTCACGGCTTCTCTGGGCAACCTGTTCCAGTATCTCATCACTCTTGTAAAAAAATTTCCTCCTTAAGTCTAATTTAAAGTTACTGTTTTTCAGTTTAAAACCATTGGTCCTTGTCCTATCATTACAGACCCTGGTAAAAAGTCTGTCTGTCTTTGAACCCCTTTCTCAGCCTTTCTTCACAGGAGAGGTGTTCCAGTCCCCTGATCATCATCACGGCCCTCCTCTGGACCCACTCTAGCAGGTCCACGCCTTTCTTGTGCTGAGGAACCAGCATGACTTTCCTCTATGACTAGCTTCTGGTCTGGGTTTCAGGGGCCACTGGCCCTCACCCTGCAGAGGTCATCCCTGCTGCTACTGCTGCAAGGAAGAGTTGAGAGATGTTGTGTCTGGAGATATGTTTATGTCTGGTTCCATTAGCTACCACAAAGGTAGAGAACCTCAGCTTCATGGGCTGCCCAGCTGGCAGTCCTACCCATGTCCTGTCCTGCTTTGCCTGAGGGGCAAGCTCTGCCCTGGCAAAATAAACCTTTTATTGGGATGAGTCTGGGAGGGCAGTATTACAAAATGAGGGGCAATAAAAACTTCACAGTTCCTCAGTCTGTTAAACAGGTTCAATCTTATCACTTGCCTTTTTTTTTCTTCCCTTGTTTTTGTCTTTTTAGATTCCTGCTTTTTTAAAAAAAAAAACTTTGGAATATATTAGTTACTAGGGAAATCACTTTCATTGTGGAGGCTGGAGTTCAGAGACCTTTAGGAAATAAAACCAAATTACAGAGTGTTTCAAAACGTTTATTGCAATTTGTGAAACAGGGTGTCTGTAGTGATTTGGTTTATGTGGAAAAAATCTAAATGTAGATCACAAAACGACAGTCCACTGTTGTATGTGAAGGTCAGTTCACCAAACTTTTATTTAGTCTGTGAGTTACTCCCACACTAATACCACACTTTGTGTGTTTTAGGATGATTCTTTGGATCGGTAGCATGGAGAAGAAAACTTTGATCAAGGGTAATAACAACCTCTACCTCTAAGACAGAAAAAGGGAAATAGGTAGTAGCCAGAAGCACTTGTGCTTCAGGAGGTGAGCTGCTTGAGGAGGGACAGACTGGTCCCCCAGGTCTTCGTGTCCCATAGCTGAGATTCCTCTGTGACTGCCAAACCGGTCACACCAGTGAGGAACCGCAAGGCAGGGACCCTGCCCGCTGCCGCTCTGCTCTGTCTCATCTCGCCCTGCCTTGCCACTTTTGGTACAGTCAGCACGCGTGGCAGGTCAATATAATGCCAAATTTATGGCAATTTGGCTCAAAATACAAAAAAAACAATCCCAGCTCTAACCTTGGCAAAAATGACTTTTTTTGCAATATATTCGGGATAGGTGAAAAGAAACTTAAATATGTCACTGCTTTAAGCCTCTTTTAAGCAGCTCTAAGGTATTCTGTCCAACTGGGCAGTGATAAGAATCAGAGGTGAAAAATGGCACCAGATGCATTACCCTCTGCAATTTTAAGAAAATATACTGAACACTGAGCTAATTCCGGGTAGCTCGATGAAGAAGCATCAATGTGTGGGAATCCACCTGCAGGTAACTTTGTAACCTTATTCTCTGCTGCAAAAAATGGTTTTCTGCAGGGCACAGCTGCAGTGAAATACTAGGAAGGCACTAGAGATGCAAGGAGGTCAGGGATGTGGACAATTACACAGGCTAAATGTTTTGTTCTGGCTTATCAGTGCTTCAGATGGCTGGAGCTACTGCCAAAGCTTATGCAAAAACCCTTTTAAAGATGAAATCTAGACATAGAACCAGAAGGAGCTATCTTAATACTACAAGGCAGCAGCATGACACCTCCATTTTTAAATGTATTTATCCTCAGAATATCACTGTGAGAAGGGGAAATGTTTCTGTATCAGTCATACCAGTGGGGAGATGAGAAGGCAGGACAGGAATGTGACCCGCCTCTCTCCAGCCCTGGGTACATACCCTGTGTTTCTTCTGGCCTTCCTCTCCATGGGGCCTCTACTTGTGCATATCAAAAGAACTGCAGGTCAGACTAAGCACAGCCAGATGTTTTCATTTCCAACCCAGTGTACAAAGCCCCTGCCCTTTGGCAGACTGAGGCTATAAAATGCTTTATATAAACTGCAAAGTTATGGACTGTTTTCTAAAATATGGTCCTAAACGCATTCTCCATATTTTGAAATGAAACAAGGGTGTCAAACTGCTGGTGGTAGAAAGGACTCCAGCTGAGGAAGCTTTAGGGGATACGCTCCACGTAATTGTATAAAAAATTTATCTCCTTAACAGGCCTTTGGGACATTCACTAATTCTGGTGTCTGGTACCCCTGGAAATTTTGCTCCTCTTCCCCTCAGGTGTAGTCTTTGGGTGTTTTTAAGTAATTATGGTAAAGAAGTTGGAATGGGACCATCCGATGTGTTTTGGTTTATTTTATTGCAAGCCGAATGTGGAAGTGGCTCTTGTGGTGGATCTCAGCGGGGATATGGCCTGTCTGTGCCAGGAACTAGCCTTAGGTGGTAGGGTAGCAACTAGCCTGAGGACCCAGGGGAAGCAGAGGAGAAGGAGAAGGTGGTACAGTTTATTTAAGGAATAAAAATGAAAGAAGCCTGCTGGTGTCAGAGTAAAAATAGATGTGATCAGTAATCAAAGCAGAGCATTAATAGGATGTTAACATTGCACATCTGAACACCTTAAGCAGTTTGGACCTGGCTCTTGTGCAAGCTATGCAGACTGGCCTTGATTCAATGCAGTGCCCCTTTCTCCCTGAGCTGCTGCCCCCAGGCACTGTGGGGTTTCTGTCTTTCACATGGTGGCAGCACCTCCTTCCCAGTTGCACCACAACTACCACCAGGAACCCAAGGCTGCCATCAGCCACCAAATCAACCTGGAGCTCTGCGCTTCCTACGTGTACCTCAGCATGTTCTACTACTTTGAGTGGGATGATGTGGCTCTGAAAAACTGTGGTTAAACTTCATCAACGTTGCTCACCTCCTGGAGCAAGGAGGACTCACCACCAATGCAGGAGAACCAGGTTAGGGACCACTTAAACAAACCTGCTGTATATAAGTCCGTGGGCCCTGACAAGGTGCATCCATGAGCGCTGAGGGAACTGTCAGGTGTCATTTTGAGGCCACTCTCAATAATCTTTGAAGGTCATGGTGATTGGGAGAGTTTCCTAAAGGCTGGAAGAAAGCAGTGTCACTCCTGTCTTCAAGGAGAACAAGAGGAAAGATATGGGCAACTACAGGCTGGCCAGCCCCACCTTGAAATCTGTGAAGGTGATGGAGAAAAATCCCCCTGGAAACTGTTTGCAAACACAGGAAAGAGTAAAAAGTGTTTGGAGCAGTCAGAATGGATTTATGAAGGGGAAACTGTGCTTAGCCAACTGATAGACTTCTACGATGAGATGAGTGGCTTGGTGAATCAGGAGACAGCAGTGGACAGTTTTTTACCTTGACTTTAGCCAGGCTTTCAGCATGTCTCCTGTAACATCCTCACAGAGAAGCTGATAAAGTACGGGCTTGCTAAGTAGGCAGTGAGGTGGACTGAAACCTCATCTATTCTGTGATTCTGGGAACATTTGGGATCAGCCATAGCTTTTGACACTTGCAGTCTCCATATGCTTCTGCCTGAAGTAGCTGTGTAAGGTGTGTCATATCTGGAAAGTCATCCAAACTCCTGGCATATTAGGAACACCCCAGGGCAGCCTTGCAGACAGCAGCATCAGCAATCCGAATGCCACAAGCACCCTTTGCTCTCCTTGCTGGATTATTTGATTTCTGTGAGCCACACAAGATGATCTCCTGTATGGCAAATAGTTCCTGAGGCACAGATAGACTCTTCAGAGGACAAAGCAAGCCAGGAAGGTCTTTGGCCAGCTTTTTACTCTGAGCTCATCCCTTCTGTTTCCAGTTAGTAACTGAGGAAGCAAAAACTGCCTTGAGGGACTTGTCTCAGATGAGTGGTTTTCATTTCTCAAAACCAGTTATGTCAAGAGTCAAGCTTTACATCACTTGGCAATTACATCCTCAGCGGCATGGTTTAAATCTTCTGTTACCAAGGGTTGCCCAGTCTATTTGTATTTCTAAAGATAGATCATAAATAAT